CTTGACACACACACACACACACACACACACACACACACACACACACACACACACACACAAACTCCATGTTATAAATATGAAATTCTGAGCACTTCACACAACACATGCACCTTGATAACTACAGTTCTGCCTCTCTCTCTTTTTCTCTTTCTCTCTCACACCCACACCCACACGCGCGCACACACAGAAAAGCACACACAAAGGCACATACACACACTCACACACACAGAGTAAAATCCCCGTAGCCATGTGCCTGCCACCCGAGCAGTTTATCAAGTAATTATTGTTTGATTACAGCATTTCATTATCTGCGCTGATTGAGTCACAACCAACGGCAAAGGTCAAGCGCCATTAACGCGCTGCTCCCGAAACATATTTCCACGCCGACAGCGTGTTTGCCCTCCCTCTCCTCTGAAAGGGCTAATTGCAAATGCATTTGTTTGAGGAAAGAAGAGAGGAGACCACGTGCTCCGAGTCCCACTGAGACAGAATATTAATCCCATAAAAAAAAAGGAATTCACACAAATTCAGACATGTATACACACAGTAAAGCCGTTTTGGGCCAATTCAACACAGATCCATTACCTGCTATGAATTCAATTCAGAAAAAGATTGAGTGTTTTGATGTCAGATATGAGGTTAAAAGGGCACCCGTGGCAGGGATGGACCTCTGTGACGGCCAGGGGTGGCGATGGCCACCACTTGTCACTCACTGGTCACCCCCACATCCAGGGGGAAATTTTGATATCCATCAATTCTTACAGTTAGTATCAATCAAAATCATGACTTTCACACCACAGCAAGCAAATAAGAAATGCAGCCGAGATGTTATTGTTTATCATACCATCCACAGTCATGGTTTCACGAGCTTAAATGCACACATTAACCAATGTAGCACACACACACACTCATTCATAATACAAGCAGAAACAAACCTAAGTTAAAAAAACAAAAAAAAAACAAAAAAAACGCTTAGATTTGTGAAGAACAAAGATATTTTTGTGTCATTGTGTTTTATTGATAAGATTTGAATTAATGCGCCATATGCACCGTGACTCTCATTGGCTGTTAGCTAGCAAATCAGTGCATGAGATCGAAGTCGACTCTGTGTGTGTGTGTGTGTGTGTGTGTGTGTGTGTGTGTGTGTGTGTGTGTGAGTGCGTGCGTGCGTGCGTGCGTGCGTGCGTGCGTGCGTGTGTGTGTGTGTGTCTTTCCATACCTGGGTGGGAAAGATATTTCCAATTCATGCAGTCGATCCTTGAACACTGACAGTTCTTTGTCGTACTCTAAAAGCTGATGATAAAAAAAACAACAACAAATGAAAGGGTGCAGGGAGAGACAGGCGACAACAGCGTTCAGTCACATTTGATCTTCATCTGTCGCAACGGGCAATTGAGCAATAAGTTACTCAAAACCTTAAAAGGAATAATTCAGCTGGAGATTAAACTGTATTTGTCAATGTTAAGAATTTGGGTTTGGCTTTCAGAAACCTGGTGAGTGTTCACAGACAGGCAATGACAACTTGCATTTTATCTTTGACAGTTTTTTTCTGATAGAAGAGCTGCAATGACACAAACTACTCAATAACAAGAAAATCCAATGCTGACTACTTTGATTGATGACTATCCATCCATTATCTCTATGGCTTATCCTGTGCAGGGTCGCGGGGACATGGAGCCGATCGCAGCTGACACGGGTCTCGAGGCGGGCTACAATCGCAGGGCTGACATATCACGACAGACTCTCAATCAAATGTCTGGAGAGTATTTACTATGGAGAGAACTGGGAACAAACTCTCCACACAAAATCCAAAGATGAGGGTTGAACCTGAGGCCTTGTCAGGCAAAAACGGTTAATACTGTTTTACCGATTATAAGCTCAAGCCAAGAGTTGTCATGACTTTAGTCAAGGGTGTGGAAAGTCCATCTCACACTCACAAATCAGCACAAAAACACTCGATATTTACAACATCAATGGTTTTCAGCATGACATTTATTCGAGGTGATTCATCTATTTAAAGAAAAACTAAAACTAATACGCACTACACTGAAATGAAGCATTAAAAAAAAAAAAAGAATACAAAAGAACAAACCTATTCTCAAAACAAATTCAAACCACATGAAAATTAACCAACAGTCAAAAAATGAAATGAAAACCAACTTTAATTAATGAAAGATGCAAAAGTATTATAACTCTGACCCACACCTTTAAAGGGGAAGTCAACCCAAAATATATTTTTACAAAAATATGTTCCATGTGCCTTCACTAGTCTAAACACTGCATTTCTGACTAATATAGCAATGTTGGAATATGCGTTCGGGTACAAAATCCATCCATTTCTGTCCATTTCAGGAGGCGGCCATTTTGCCACTTTCTGTTGGCTGAAAAGGACCTCACAGTAGCTCAAGTAGTGTGAGGTAGCTCACTTGTTTTCTGAAGCTCAGCCATGATTAGTTGTTACCTGAGCCCTGAGCCACTCTGATGTCATTTTTAGTCGCCAGCAAGTGGCAAAATGGCCGCCTCCTTAGCTGGACAAAATCAGGTCGATTTTATTGCTCATATGCCACAGACGCACTATGAATCAGAAAGCCGTGTTTAGTCTTGTGGGTCTGCACAGAACATATTCTTGTAAAAAAAATGTGGGGGTTGACTTCCCCTTAAATCTGTTGCTTTCTCTGGGTTTTAATAGATCCAAACATATTTGCAAAGTCTTTTTCTTTTAACTGCATACTTTACACGCATTTTAAATGCTTTTATGTCTGAATTTAATGTTTGCTTTTAATTGTTTTGAATACTGTAAAGTACTTTTGCTTGATTTTGATGGTGCTGTAGAAAAAAACTTGCCTAGCCTAGTGGAAGTAGTCATAGTCATCATTCCAAATAATATTACTAATAAAAGTAGTAATTATAATAACAATAGCAAACATTAACAACGACAATAATATCACAAAATCGCAATAAACATTCAAAACAACAGCAATAACAATTGAATAACGCTCTCTCAACAATGACAAAAACTGTCAGTCTGCGCTTACACTGCCCTGTCCGACAAGGGGATTCTCTCACCACAGTGCCAGTCCGTCTACACACTCTTCATTAATCATGTCTCCTCACCCAGCTGTACTCATTCGCTAGTGTATACACACACACACACACACACACACACACACACACACACACACACACACACACACACACACACACACACACACACACACACACACACACACACACACACACACACACACACACACGCACACATCCCCGAATTTACCCCCTTTCACAAAACCCATAAATCATTCGTGAAAAGTGCAATTAGTGGTTTCTTGTATACATTAATTATCTGGGAGATGAACAGGTAGCTCTGGCACCTGCATGACTGCTTCCCTGAGAGACTGGCAGCGAGGTTCTCTTAGCAACCCTTGGAGGGCCTCGCTCGCTCAGGCCCTGCCTTTTTCCTTTCAGAGTGGGAGACATCAGCTTCGATCTGGGACAGTTATCTCCCCCCCCCCCCCCCCGAGTAGCTAACAATTACAGTGTGAGGATCCTAAGATGAGAAGCATTTGACAGAAACCGAACAGGCAAGTGGACATTAATGATATTACATTGGTGTATTACACACGGCGCTACGTTGACGTGTACATGATGAAATATCAAAGGAGAAGACTTTGCGTTATATTCGGGAGGAAAGCGGAAACCGTGTTGCAATATGAGAGAGTAACTCCGGCTTAGCCTGACAACTTCTCACTGCCTGTTCAAATCATTGTCGAGTTGACATGTAAGTGTGAGTCTGATGTCTTTGCTCCGGTTCTTTGTGTTAGTATTTGTGATTATGTGTCAGCCATGTAGAACAGAGGCCATTACGAGCAGCCAGCGGGGGCCTCCCAGTCGGTGTCTCTGCGGTTCAGGAGGGCAGATGTGCCACATTCATCAAACTCACACTGCCGGGGTCATAGGAGAGACTCACACACTGTGGATGAGGGATGGCGGAGCATGGGATGCAAGCCCACGCTCCACTGTCCACCCTGTCCCACCATCCATCCACTGAACGTGCGTGTGTCAAAACCCAATCAAAATGTTGCGCCGCACACTCTTATCTTTACATGATCTAATACAAATTTAGTAATGAGCATAACAGCCAGAATACAAGATTATTTTTGGATAATTGTGGTGCTGGTCAATTCGAAATGTAGTCACTTGACCAAAAACAGTTTTTGAGTGAGATATAAATGTAAGCGTTCAAACAAAGCAAATCACAGATCATTGATTGATTGCGTCTATTGCTTGGCTCCAAATTATGCGATCTCATTGAAATAAGCAATGCTGTTAAATTTGCGGCGCTGCCACGCTAAAGCAAACTATGAGCAGTTTGCTTTAGCAAAAACAACAGAAAAGTAAAAATTGGAATGGAATCCTTCAAAATAAGTCTTTTCTACTGTGATTAACTTTTTTTGTTTTCTCCAGGGTTTGATTTGTATACAAACTGGAGACAACCTTGTAAATTATTTTTAAAAAAGAAGAAAAGATCTTTTTTGGCATCTAATCTAGCCCACTTTGAAAGCTTAATACGCACCATCTTATATACAGTAAACATACTGTAGTTACAGTACACATGTATCATTCCAAAATGAGACTGAGGGTTGGACACTGATTGAGGGAAATGGGGTATAATACAAATACTTTAAGTGGGTGGAAGAGTTGATACAGCAGATGAGTAGCATATGGCCGTGTGTGCTTGCGATCTCTTCTAAGTGAATGTTGAGTAATTCATTCAGGTGAATGGACGAGACCGCATGCCAGAATTTCACACTACATTTAATCCGAGGTCAATTAAGCATAATGCTCTGCTGCCGTGGCGGGTGAGTGGTTTAAAAATCAGCTTATATTGGTTCAAGGCCTCTTGACATTATAAAGCCAACAGTAGTTTGTCAACCAGAAATGACCTTGGGAGTTGTGGAGGAGGTGATGCGAGATGATGCAGTACAATATCACACAAGGTGGGGAAGATGAAGAAGTGTCTGGGTAAAAACTACCCTGTCAAGAGACGGAATTTCTGACTTTGCTTGGATGAAAAATCAGACCCTAAATCAGAGAGGCGGTGATAGTTGAGGCCGGAAGTTGAGGGGCAACAAACGGGGGAATATGAGTTGTCCGGCCCCCACAACTGTGCCTCTCAGCATACGGGAGACTAGTCCACCATCTGTAATTGTGCTTTGATTTAAATCTTGTCAACTATCCTCTGTGACAACACCTGCTGCCGTTAAAAGCCATCAATAAATGTTGGGGGTGAAAGGTCATTTAATTTGATTTTTACACCTTATACTTGGTTTTCATCGCAAGGGCAATATTTTTCCTTTTTTTATGGGACCTTCATTATTTGGTGTGGAAAAGCAATAAACTGACTGACGGAGCGCTGGCCGATTGGCACCGGGAGGAGACCGGAGCAAACAAAGCTGAAATCGACAGCGTACTGACTGCACTGCTGAACTTTCATTTCCATGATAACTGAATTAGGTGGTAAAGAAGTTAGACGCATGTCAGGAAAAGGACACCAATTCCACAATTTGGCTTAACACACGGAAAGAAATGCCTTTGGGTAACTTTTCAAATCTTGAAGATCAGATTAGCGTTCTTTCGGCACATTGTACATGTACACTGTCGCTTTCGAGAGGCGGGCTGCGTCAGAGACACTCAAGGACCAAAGAAGCAACAAATGATTCCACTTCGATAGTCAGCTCTCATTTAGCATACCTCCTCTATTGCCGTTTGGAAATTCTGACGGTCAGAATACGGGGAGCATGTTTTTTTGTTTTTTTCCCTCTCTCAAATAATCTTTCTTTGAACATTTCTTTCAGGTGAAAGGAATCTCCGGGCTTTAGAGTAATCGTACAGGCAACGCTGCCAGCATGAAAACGAGAAGCAGGTCAGACAGCGAGGTTCATCACTTACTGGCGCTAACACACACCACCTCCTCTCTTGGTCCCCCATCTGCCGATGCCACACTGATAAAGTTACAATAAAGAGATACTGAAACGGAATCAATGAGCGTGGAAGGGGGAGGTGGGGCCACCCTTTGGTTGTTCGTCGAAACGACGCGGGGACTGCAACATGTGCGGATGGACAACACAAACATGAAAGAGGACACACAAACACACGCGCACACTTCCATCCCTCCACTGGAGCAGAGCCCCGCCGTGCCCCTTGACGCCACAAGAGCCCGGAAAATTTAATCTTCCCAAATACTCATCAGGGCTCTCCATCGTCCCGCCGTGACAGCGCCGGGGATAATTAATTATACAATTTCGATGGGAATATCGACTAAACAAACCTATTAATCATAGCAAAAGTCAATAGGCATGGACACATTCAATCATGTCCCAGCCAATGATTACTCCTCTCAAAATACAATAATTATTTTCAAGCGCTGCCTCGAATTAAATTTCTGTCAAGCTGGTACACGTCTTACAGTTGATGAAGGGGGTAATGATTTGATTTTTTTCTCTTCCCCTTTCCAAGTCGAGGAGGGATATTTATCCGTTTAGAAAGGTAGTTTGTTTTATAAGGATCATAACATGGTGTGTTTAACCAGACCGCCAGATTATCTCTGATGCTCCACTTATGTCGTCTATCTTGTCTGACTTGGCCAAAGAGGAGGGAAGAGCGGGGTCCGGTTACCTCTACTTAACAAATTGAATTGTTTCTCCATGCCTACATAATATGACCCCCCCCCGCCCCCAAAAATAATAATAATAATTTCTTCATACTGCTCACTGTGCATCAAAAAAAATGGCAACAAAATGAAAGGCAACTGCCTTTCATTTTGTTGCCATTTTTTTGGAGACAAGATTTGATTTGAACGGCATTACAAACGTACTCCACAGTACACTTTGAATGGATATACTGTATTTGGACAATCTAATGGAATCCGATGACATATTCTGCCCCGACAAATATAATTGGTAATTCTAACCCAATTTCCTCTGAGTAGTTGGGGGTATTTTGGTCAGGTTCGCTAGCATACACTCTTGTTAAAAATTGGATAAATTACCCAAATTATCATTCATAACTTCATTTATTCATTTACCGTCACGCTTGATCCTCACTAGGGTCG